CAGCATCTTTGCCTTACACCACTTTCTATTTTTGTATATTTACTAAATTCATTTTATATCTGTATGCAAGGGGCTTATTACTAGAATTCTTTGTCTGTATGGAGGAATATGTGACTTTCGCCACAGCATTAAAATACACTTTCGACATTGCTAAATGGCGGCCACATTTTTATGACCCAATTAAAATTGTCTTTAAAAGCCCAAAATAGTAAAAAAATTGATGTACGTCGAACAATCAAGAGAAATATTTTTATAAAGTCTAAAATTAAGTAACATTTTTGTTTGATGACATTTTATTTCAACGCATAACTCCCTGGTGTCAATTTAAAAAGATGTCTTCTTTTTGTATACAGGGGATCCCCCCCAAAATTTGACATTATTTCGCAGGCCGATAATTTTTGGTAATTCTTGTTGAAATAACCGCAAATTCTCACAGAATGTATAGAAACAGATCAAGATTTTAGATTTAATGTTTTATTTTTTGTTATCTCAATGAGAATCTACCAGAGAGATGGATCGGGCGTGATGGAGATGAAGACAGTTTTCTGATGAAATGGCCGCTGCGGTCACGGGATCTGTCCCCTGTGTGATTACTTTTTATGATTTGGTTTGTTTTACGGCATATCAACACCTCAATGGGTTATTTAATACCGACAAATTTTTTTATTGCTGGTAATATGTTTTTCTTCTAAAATCTATTCCTGGCAATATTTTTCCTTGAAGAAATCTATAGATGGTCATATTTTTTTCAAAGAATGTATAACTGTTTGTATTGCTGGTATTTTTTTTAAAGTATTGCTGATAATAATTTATCCTTCAAAAATTATTGCTGGTAATATTTTTTTTTATTACAAAGTATTTCTGGTATTAAAACCTATTTTTACACAAGTTGGGGTGTTAACTATTTGCCCATAGCTGGGACCCCAACAGGTGCTACCACCCCGGTCAGGGTGGACCTGGGAACAATAGCAATTAAGAGGTGGTTCCATGTTCCTCAAAACCTCCTGATCAGAGGCCTTGTTGTTGGACGTAGTTTATCGTCTTACCCAGGACGCAGATATAGTTTATCGTCTTACCCTGGACGCGGATGTAGTTTATCGTCATACACAGGAAGGACTTTTTATGGGGTGTTATGTGAATGGACTGGTCTATGACCCCCTCTCCCTGCTAGCATTGATGAACTCAAACAGAATCACTGGATAATGTTACCAGAGACATGCTACAGCGTGGTTAGCAAGAGCTTTACTACCGACTTGACGTGTGCCGTGTCACAGGCGATGTACATATTGAACACTTATGTAATCGGTCCCATAATAAACTTATGATGGTCAACACCTAAACTCTTCAATTTCATTGAGCTAGACTTAATAGTTTTCAAGATTATTGCTTTGAAAATGATATCAACTTTTTGGGGACAGCCTGTGTATTTAAATTCAGAAAGTGAAAACTTCACTGAAATATATTAGATAATATTCAACGTTTCAAATTTTAAGATAAATGTTCACAATATATGGAAAAAATATCAATTTAGACAGACGCCAAAGGAATACGGGTCAGATTATATTTACACATGCTCCAGATGAAATTATTTTACGCATGCGCACATAATTTCTTTCCTTCAGATCTTTGAAATAAAAAGCTATATTTACAACTTTTTTTTAAAAATATTTATTTATATCTACAGTGATGAGGGCGGGAGATTTTTCTTTCTATTTTATTGAGGAAGAGAGAGTAGAGAAATGCAATTTTGTCGTAATTACCACCTATAAATATATTCATTTGACATCAGCAAAAGGTATTTTAATTCATGCTAATTGTTCATGTTCTAGTTCAAGGAGAAAGAAAGAAAGAAAGAAAGAAAGAAAGAAAGAAAGGATAATGAGAATTTTATATGTGATTTTAATGATTTCAACATTTAAGTGACTTTTTACGTAATTATTTCAACACAATAAATGTATTAATTACGACAACAACAACAATAGTAGGAATAATAAGAACAAAAGTTAGCGTCTGAAGGCCTTCGATAAATCTAGAAAATTTAGCAAATAAGTTAGGACGACTTGCAATTGTGTAATACAGTAAAATCCCTGACAACCGGACTAAGAAGGTCTTCCGGATATGAAGAACTGGCTACAAAGTCCGGATATGAGGGGTTATATTTATTTAAAAGAACTGAAATCAGGTTTAACATTTATTTTCAATGTTTTATAGTAAACAAAATAAGATAATGGTGAGTGAAATATAACGGAATTGATTTTAAAGAAAAAAAAATTATGTAATGTTAATGAAAATTCATTAAATTAAGTCTGCCACGTATGCAAAAACAAATAATGTAGCAAGGATTTTTTTAATCGCTGTTGCATGATGATTCTTTCTCTTCTAATGTCATTCTCAACTTTTTCCACATTTCGTTTTGTTTTTGTTCTTGAAATTGTTTAAACGAAAGACACTTTTTAACTCTGCATGCGTTATTGTAATCGTCATAGCTGAATGCTGGCTTTCTTTCCATAAAACTGATAACCTTTTCAATAGCTTTTTCAATTTCAGTCCAGGTTTCATTACAATCATGAATCTCGTCGCTATCTTGTTGCAGATGTGTGCCGTTGTCATCCTTTCCTTTTATTCCCATCATCTTTTGCACCAATACAAGCCATTAGGGTGAAATAAGCATAAGCAATTATCCAAAGTAAATGTCCTGATAATCAGAAAGTTCAAATATACACATTAAAATCATGTCCAGATATGCGGGATTCCGGATATGAGACACTCTCGATATGAGGAATTCCGGATATGAGAGATTCTGGATATGAAGGATTCCGGATATGAGGGGTTCTATTGTAGCGAAATTGTTTCGGAACTCTTATATTCTCTTTTATGGCAGTGCATGTTGGTCAATTTCCCTAATTATGAGGAAAAAACTGAAAGTAGCAGAAATATGGTTCTACAGAAGGATACTGAGAATTCTGTGGACTAGGCGATTAAGAAATACGGAAGTCTTGAAAAAATGGCAAGAGAAAATAATATTTCTACGTAATGAGAAAGGAGAGCTCACGGGGACATCTTGTGGACAAGGGTGTGATAGGGCAGGCAGCAAGTCACTTCCATGATGAGCTTGGGTGAATGGAGAGTGAAACGGGGAGGGGGGCTTTAGCAAAACGTAAATAAAAATGCTGGGAGCCACACTAGAGAGGGAGAACCATAATCCCCTATGTTCTGAAGTGACGTGGCACAAAAAAGAAGAAAAAGAAGAAAAAAAAAACAGAAGAAAAAGAAGAAGATGTAAACAGAAGAGAAAGAAGAAAACGATGATAAAAAGAAGAAAAAAAGGAAAAGAAGCCGTTCATTATTGGACAAATCTTTGCAAAGTGATTTTCCAAGCATAGCTTAGATGTGGCACAAGGCCGAAAGTATGGGGCACCCAGTGAGAATCGAACTCACTACTCAGTCGTAATTGTTCTAGCGAGACAAACTTGCTAAACATTGCAACGTTTCTTCTTCTTCTTTTACTTCTTCTTCTTCTTCTTCTTCTTCTTCTTCTTCTTCTTCTTCTTTGTATCATGTCCTTTCAGGAAGTGGACAGTCTTGTCTCTCCAAGCTTCTAAAACTTAACCCTCACGAGGAATCTTGAGGACAAGGGCGATAGAAGAAGGCAGCAAGTAATTTACCGGATGGCGGATACCCCAGCGGATAGCTCAAACTAGCCCCACCCTGTTCGAAGTTTGAATTACTGTGTCGTGTCCCCCAGATTTTTCTCGTTAGAATCCAATTTGAACATTCATAAATCTACCTCGTCAGAGTATTGAATATTGTTGCCATATTTGGTTTGCTGCTCCTAGTGTGCATCTCGAGATACTCAACAAAATCCAGAGAAAGGTCTGCAATACAATCGACCCTGGCCGGGCATTTCGTATGTGTACACTATTTACATTATTCGGACTATTGTCCTCATCTTGTCGCCATATTTATTACAACGTTTCAAAATTTGATTGTGCTCCGACCTTCTTCAGGTGGTTGGAATGTCGAACTGAACCAATTTATTTCGCTCACTGGGGTAGACTGTTCTAGTTCCACGTGCTATGTCTAATGGATGTCAGTTATCAGTTATCTCCTGTTAATTTCCCCTCTGAAAGTTCTCTACTGCCTTAACCGGGTATTGAACTCACATTCGTTGTGTCCTGTTACTGGATCTAACTGACGCCTTTATCCACTGTGCCATGTGTCCTTGAGGACAGTCTACTCCAGTGAGTTAGATAAAGGGTTCAGTTCGATATTCCAACTACCTGAAGAAAAAAGAATTAAAAAACGAATTTTTTTTATTTAATAAATAAGTGACAAAGATGAGTTTGAACGAATAATTTTTAGTGTACATTTACTTAATCTGAGAAATATAGACAGATCTCGTATGTGTGTTGAAAACATTTGAAATTTATACAGATACTTTTTTTTATTCGAGAACAGACAGCAAAAATGTTAAACACTATTTATTTATTAGGTTGTTAATTTACAAGAATAATTTGGCTAAGTTTAACAAATGTATCTGGAAAAAGATGGAGTACATCGTGATAGCGGTGTCAAGAGATGAAATGTCCGTTTGACACAGTGTTTTTCGCTGGTACGTTGGTTAAACTCTGCCGACTTCTGTCACATCTGTGTATTTTAGAACAGTATCATTCAATCAGGTACTATCAGATTCCAGTTCTTATTTCTATGAAGACTTTATACTTCATACACCACACACCAGGGGATCAAAAACCTTTTGAAACTTCTGTTATTTTATTTTATAGTTTATTTTTATCCGTTCCTTTCAAGCAGACAGTAATAATTCCTTCTGTCCCAATACTTACTGGCCGGTAAGGTGTAGATTGATTTGTGACAATGGCGAAGAAAGGATTGACAGCCAAGGTTACTGATCGTCCTTGAAATGATTTATCCTTCAGCCGGGATAATGCGGCCTAATCTTACTTATATAAATAGATATTTAGCTAGCTTAGTCTAACGTAATGGCAAACAGAGGTATAGGCGGGTGTGGGGAAATTAAAGAAAAATATAAAAACGAGAAACAAGACCTCTTTAAGGCTCTTGTACCCATCCACGAATCTATGATACACCCTGAATCTATGATACAGGACCCCACACTCTAATACATTTCATCGGGTGGTAGTCTTATAAAATACAAATTTATATTTGTGAACAAATCAACTAGAAATATTGAAAATATGTATAATGTATCTAAAATACAAATTAGAGACATGTCATAATAGATCATTCCATCTTAAATAAATCAACAATTTTTTGCAGCAATTTTTTACATAAACTTGAGATTTTTCTTGCTATCTATCTATCTATCTATCTATCTATCTATCTATCTCAGTCTCTTTCTTTCTCTTCAGATCTATCTATCTATCTATCTATCTATCTATCTATCTATCTTATTAATATCCACATATGCCTTTATCTATCTATCTATCTATCTATCTATCTATCTATCTATCTATCTTATTAATATCCACATATGCCTTTATCTATCTATCTATCTATCTATCTATCTATCTATCTATCTATCTATCTATCTTATTCTATTCTATACCTATCGTTCTATCTATCTGTATCAGTGTTGTTATAAGGTCTTCTGCCCCCACTACAAATCTATGATACGCCTCCCCCAGTGTATGATATGGCGCCCCATATCTACATCTCAATTTTCATAAGGTAGTATTCATATAAATACAAATTTTAATGCAATTTAATTAGGTACAATAATGGATCATAAGCAATATAGATGAACAATTCAAGTAGAAAAAATGAAAATAAATACAATGGATCTAAATACAAATTAGAGACCTGTCATAATCCATCATTCCATTTTAAATAAATCAACAATGGTTTGCGGTAATTTTTAGCATCAACTTGAGATTTTTCTTGTTAAAATGTTGAATAATTTTAACACATTCAACATTATGAATAAATATAGTGAATTATATATAGTTTTTTTTTCTTTTCCTTTTTCTTTTGTTATTTCTTTCTTTCTTTTTCTTTTTCCCGAGGCTTAACATGAACAGAACAAATTCACGGATTGGGACGAAAAAAAAAAAAAAAAGAGACCAAAATGACATGAAATTCCGCGAAAATTTTTCATCCTTTAATAGTCAATTGTGCTTAGTTTAATTTGTAACGTATATAACTGTAGAGAGGAAAAAGCAAATGTTAATAAGATAGCGAGGGTCGCATAGCATTGCCCGGGACCCCAATCAGTCTTGGGCCCACGCCGGTCGTTGGTTCGTGGGTAACGCACCAGGCCTGCTGAGAAGAATTTGTTTACTTTTAAAATTGCCATTCAAGTCTTCAGAATGTTTTAGTTTGTCATATAGGAAGAAAATGAGTAACTGCCGATACCGAGGTTCCAGCGTGACATTCTTGACTTATGAAGATATGTTTTCTGCCAGGTGTATAACTAGGGGTGTCAGGCTACTGACTACAGTGATTGTGTGACTATTAAGTGGAAATATCTAGTCGAATTAGTGTGAATTATTGTGCGTCGATGATTTGGGTTATGATTTAAGGTTTACCGGACATTAAGCCGAGCCGCGCTACCAACAAGGTATTCACTGAAATGGTTATCTTTGGTTGATTTTTACTTCTTTGTCCGTCTTAAGTATTTATTTGCGGTTGTAATTAAATACTGTTTTATTTTAACATTGAAGTCTTTATTTAGACTTAATCATTAATGGCCACCGGATGTCACAAAACTATGACGTTATTCATCACTGTTTTCTTTATTTCCTATGAAATGTTTTTTGTTTGTTGTTACTTTGGTTAGCATTCGGAATGCGTCTTTCACTCATCCAATTCCTGTTCGGATTTCCGTGTCGCGTTTTCCATGAAAAAGAAAGCGAATTTATTTATGTCTTGTATTAAAGTATTTACGGTCTCTGCCTAAGATCAAAATGTCTCTTCGTGACCATCTGCATAGATATGCAGGCACTATAACCGTTTAGGACGCGAAAAATGGAATCGACGAACCGAGTTCTAATTATGGTTTCGCCTTTTTTGTCTTTTTTTTTTAATCATTTCACCCCAAGTAAGCCGATAAAACCAATAAACAGCAGGGGTTATTGAGTGTGAAAGAAAACGAGTAAACATTATTGAGGAGAGAGGACAATAAAAGAACATGATTCCAAAAGACAGAAAATTACGATCGACATTCCATTTAAATTTTTGAAGATCGTAGTTGATAGAAAAGCAAGAAGCCGGGAAAGAGTTCCACTGGCGAGAAGTGCGAGAGAAGAAACTGTTAGCATAGAACTTACATCTAGCAATTTGAGCAGTAAAATGATGTAAGTTGCTACCAATGTAATAATACGCTTAAATTTATGAGGTCGATGTACCAAAGAGGAAAGCTCATCCGAGCATTTACCATAAAATATTTATAGAAAAGGCCCATGGGAGCTACGTTATGGCGATGGGAAAGTGATAAAAGCCGAGATGCTATGTCAGGACCGATAACATTGCAGATTTTTCTTTGGATTTTATAATTTCGGCGCGAAAAATGGAATCGACAAACCGAGTTCACTGAAATGGTTAATTCTCATTGGTTGATTATTTACATTATTCTGACTATTGTCCTCATCTTTTTCGCCATATTTATTACAAATTTAGAGGAAAGCTGTTCTCGGGCCATCATCATGTGGTTTGAATGTCGAACTGAACATTTCTTTATTTTGCTCACTGGGGTGATTTTACTGTTCTAGTTCCACGTGCCATTTTTAATGGATAAAAGTTATCTTGTTATCTCCTGTTAATTCCCTCTCAAAGATTCTGAAACATGCCTTAACCGGGTATTGAACTCACACTGTTTGGGTCCTGTCACTGGATCTAATTTTTTTTTTTATCCACTGTGCCATGTGTCCTTGAGGACACATGGCACAAACGTTGTGCGCAAAAAAGAACTTGGAAAGGGAATTTTAGAAGATAACTTGATAAATGATTTATATTTTTAAAAACACGTAGTAAACGTGTTTGGATCTAACATTGGATTTATAAACTGTGCCATGTGTTATTGAGGACACGTGGATTGAGAAAAATACAATTATACCCCAGTGAGCGAAATAAATATTCATTCGACATTCCTACCACCTGAAGAAGGCCGAGCGTACAACGGCCGAAAACTATTTTAAATATGGCGACAAAAGATGAGTTAAATATTTCCGAATAATTTAATGAATGTAATCATAATACATCATCTCAGAAATATAGACAGATATCATTGGTTGATTTTTTTTTCTTTTGTTCTTATTTATTTGCGGTAGTAATTAAATACTGTTTTATTTTAACATTGAAGTCTTGACTTATATTTCGTCATTAACGGTCATCGTACCTGACAAAATAGTTGCCGGGGTGAAAATAACATCAATTCTCTGACGATGTAGAGCCCTTGTTTTTTTTTTTTTCAAAATCATACGTCGTCTTTCTATTTTGCACTCAATTTTCTATTTTGCGCAACAGTATCGATCCTTTTCTTCATTCTTTTTCTTTTCTACTATTTATAGAAATTGTTTACAATAGCGTTACTATAAATATTCCTGCTCGACACAGACTTTAATATTGTGTAAACTTAAGTGGATTATTTGCTGACGTAAATGGAACAAGATTTTAGCAAAAGACCTTCACATACGATAACTTGTAATTATTTAAATTATCAATTAGGGGTGGGGAGGTCCTTGGTTATGGGCGGTACCATTTTAATCGTAAGCCTTGGTGTATGGATCAGTTATAACAAATTAAATATAGACATCAGGAATTTGAACATAAGATAACCTGTTTAGTTTTTAGGGGTAGTTTCACCTGCTACTGCAAAGTGCTAACAGATCACAACATCAATCAAAGAGATGAAATTTAAATTTTTATTATTTCATTATTCCAAAATTTTAACACACCAGCAGATAGCTATTACTGTCAACAACTGAGCACAAATAGTTATTAATTAAAAAAATTAGTAATTAATGTATAATATTATCCATAACTACATGTACAAGAATATCGTTTTTGATAAAAGTTAAAAAAATAAACATAAATACATAAAAAATGCGTTTATTGTGAAAAATTTATTTTTTCACAATATAGGTATTTGTTTATAACCTAAACAACAATAATACTGAATACATTTTTTAAACATTAAAGTATATTTAATTACATCACCCTAATAGCTACAGCGATTAAAAACAAAATATTAATCTAAAAACTCGAGTGATGCACGCCCCATCTAAACCCTCATTACACACACAGAGCACACACACACACACGCACACACACACACACACACACACACACACACACACACATATATATATATATATATATATGACGTTTGTTTACATTCGTAAAAACAATACACTAGAATTAGTTGTTTCTCTCTGCCAAATGAGGATAGTTCAGGGGTAAAAACTCTGACTTATACCAAATCAGTTGGGTTTCGATCCTGGCTTGAAACATTCGGATGTCTCTGTCGAGCTGTGATACAGCGAAATAGTGCTGTCTGCGAATGACACACACACACACACACACACATGTTATTGGATTATATATATATATATATATATAACACCAAACGCCCTCTTTTAACCACCATAGAGAAAGTTTCCTGCCTGCCACCAACATTCCCGGTGGTAGACTCCAGGAGAGCGACACACTGCGCCTTCTGGGCCTCACGTTTTCAACTGACTTGAAGTGGAACGACTACATTGAATCAATAGCTGCATCTATTGCAAGGAAAGTTTAAAGAAAAAAACACACTGTGTCATGCCAGAAGGTTTTTAGAGTCCATCTTTGCATTTACAAATCTACCATTCACCTGCGCATTAAATACTGTTGCCATATCTGGTCAGGTGCTCCTGCTATTCATCTCAAGGTTCTTGACAAAATCCAAAGAAGGATCTGCAATATAATCGACCCTGACCTGGCATCTCGATTTCAGTCACTTTCTCACCGACATGACGTGGCTTCCCTCTGTCTTTTCTACAAATATTTCCATGGCCACTGCTCTGACAAGCTTTTTTTCTTTGATGCCCGAACTACGTGAATTTAAGTGTGCTACTAGATTGGCATCTAGGTCCCAACATTTCACTGTCGAAATAGTTAAATGCAACCGCCACTTCTACTCCAGCAGTTCCTTCTCTCGTACTTCTCGCCTGTAGAACTCTCTTCTGGCTTTTCAGCCAACTTTGATCTGCCAAGATACAAATCTAATGTCTTCTTGATGTCTTTTCTCGCACTTCCCACCTGTGGAAACCCTTTCCGATTTCTTGCTTCCCTGTTAACTACAATCTTCAAAAATTTAAATGCAACATCAATCGCCATTTTCTATCTTCTTGAATCCCATTCATCTTTTATCCTTTCCTCAATCTCCCCTATACCCAATCTTTTTTCTCAACTTCACTCTCTGTAACCCCTGCTTAGTAGAGTGATTCTGGCCTTGCTTGTGGTGAAATGCCTAAAAAAAAAAAATCAAAAAAAATCTTTCGATCTCTTCCGAGATCATCCTCAGGGCGTATTGCATAGAGAACCTTAATATGACTGTAGTCGTCCTGACGGTGATTTTTGTAAACGCGCATGAAC